TGTATCAAACTTTTAACATACAACCATTAGGTGTAACTAAAGGAGGTTTTGGGGACTAAGCTCTCAACAATAGGAATTTTAATACATCATAGTTGAAAATCGGCAAGTATATTAAGTGTATCATTTTTATTACCTGATTTATAAGGAAATGTTTTATTTAATATTACATTTTAAATGCCTGAAAACTCACAGTTATTCATCTGAAATTTCAACATTTCCTGGTAGAGCCTTCTTTAGACTTTTAGTAGCTACGCCCCCTCAATTACGCACCCTAGTTACACCTATAAATGTAACTTTCCATTATGACAACTTATAAACGACATTGGGTTTGAAAACCGCTCTATTCTTAATGTTTACCACTTTGTCTATCTATTTCTAAATAGAAATGTTATTTGAAAATTATGTCTGATGACATATTTAGCCAACTATTGACGTGGCTTTACTAAACAATTTATGTATATGATCTCAGCAATATTTTTGCCACAGTGAAATACAATTTTATGTAAGCCTAATCACCATAAAATGTGTAATAATTATAATGTGTTACATTGTGAAAGAAGAAAATTAGTTTGGTGTTTTTAATACTCCATCACACGTAATTTCATATTGTATAATATCTTGAAGCAGCGGCCTTAATCATATTTCTATTAAATTTATTACCTCCTCTGGTTGTATATATTTAAAAATATATTAGTATTTATCACACAGTATTGTTTGATACTTGTAAATATGTTTAAGTTTTAGTTTAATGGTTGGGAGAAAACATTCCGTCCAATTTTGTTTTGTTAGGTGGCTAGATATAAAATGTAATTTATTTTTAAATCTGTAAAATATTGTATAAAAGAAATATATTTACAATGATATGCTTTAATGGTGATTCTCAATCTTGAATCACTTAAAAGATTGAAAAATATTTGTAAAAGTAGATCGACAATCAATTTAAAACAGTACATAATAAAAATTTAGGATTTTTTATTATTCAGAGCATGCAATTTTAACTTTTTTATTTTTTAGTATATTTTTATCAAACAGAGTTTTCTAACACTTCTATTAGTGTCATTGCAATATGTCAATTATTCATGAGTATTTTTCACAACATTTTTTCATGAGTAAATAGAACATTGTTTTGATAATATACATTTTTGTAGTCAAAACATCCATTTTTATGTATTTGACACCATTATCAAATACATAAAATTATTACCAAAGAGATATGAATTACCCTCTGTAAAAGATGTCTTAAAGACAGAAACTTCCTTCAAAAGGATCTATGTTGATTAAAAATGTGTTTTAAAAACATTCTTTAGGCAGTTTATAAAAAAAAATACAACAGAAATAATGTGTAAGACCACAAGGACTAGACAAGCCCAAAGTCAAGTCAATGTAGCCAAGACCAATTCATTGTACTCTATGTGGTAAACAAATTCACATAAAACCTTTACCGAAAAATAGACAAAAGATAAATGCCTATTTTTCAACCTTAATATGGTAAAGTTCTAGTATACAATACTATAAAATGTGGCCACAATTAACTATTAAAGGCCAGCCATTCAGTCATCTTTTCCGTGTGTTGTACATTGATCTGTTGATTATATCTAAAAATTCTACCTTTTGTTGATATGACCATTAACTATTGGATACTGAAGTTGTACCAATAGTCAAAGATATGACTAAACTAATTCAATATTTCGAGTCCTTTTATAGTTATTCTAAGGTGTGCTGATGCCAACCTAATAGTTTATGGTTTCATTCTTCTTTTAAAAAATAACTGAAAATGAATCACACATTTTATAGGAAATTATATTAATCTGGCAACAGCATTAGCCATCATTTGGTATATTAAAAGGGTCCTTAAATGCTACATTGGCAATGATAAATTTTCTTTTATTTGAATATTTAATGTAATGTAAAAAGTGACATCAAATGTTAGCTAATAATTTAAATATAATGTGACAAACAGTACTGCACTTTTCTACTGGGCTAAAGATATAATTTTACAGTAAAAGAAGTTCATTTATATCAAATTTATGATAAGTCATTATAAAATAATCAAAGTATTTACGGTATGTAAAAATCATTAAAATTTATCATGCACTTAAAATTGAATGTGAATGTTTGGATTGAATGTTGTGATATTTGTTATTGTTAATTTTCCAAGATATATAAATATGTATAAAATAGTGCAATGGAAATGTATAACATATGTTTAAAGGAAATGTAAATTTTTCAACACTCGAGGGAAAATATCTTCCATTTTGATTAAAGAAATTTACATTTTGTTGAAGTCTACCTTCAGATTTATTCCTTTTACTCCAGACACTTGGCACACTAAACAAGTAAGTAATAGCAAATAGTAAGATGGTAAAGATACATATAGTGTTGGATAAAAAAATACACCACTCAACGCATTGCTCGTTTCGTAAAAAATGAAGTGCCGGAACTGTAACCTATATTTAATTAAACTCCCTATACCATACTATACGCATAGTGACTGGAAATGAAGCAATTGGTGACTGGTAAGATTCAGACCCGCAACCTCTGGGATCAAAAGGCTCACGGTCAAACAGTTAACTATAGTTCGGCCGCTTAGAAAGCGACCTCCTCCAGCATTGGTTTAGCATTAGCGCGCAGGTCGTTTTCTAAGCGGCCGAAGTATAGTACCTAAGCTACATATTAATGCCAATATTTTATCTTTTGGAAAGAGAGGTATCGGAACTCTGTTCCGCCGCGTTCCCTCACAAATCGAGCACTGACATTCGCAAGCTCAAAAATGAAGCAGATCTATTGGCCAGCATTAACATAACAGCCAAACAGCCATGAATTTGGGCAAGTATGAACTGGTTGGTTTTATTGTGCAAAAAAGTAAACTGAAAACTATCAAAACATGTATAATGTATTTTAGCCCTCAGGAGGGTAGTGCCGGTTGGTAGGGAATGTGTTAACAATTAGCTAACTATACTTAGCCCTCAGATACAGTGGAGTGTGACAGTTAATGTATAATTTAGTGCCTCAATTATTATGTTTTCAGCGCCTTAGAAACCATTCTAGTAAACTTCTCTTGAATGAGGCAAAGTATGCATTATAGGGCATTATAGGTATACAAACAAATATTAACTCTAAACAGATCATAGACATGTTTAAAATGACACTTCAATCGTAAAATCGGTTGATTAGGACAGCAGAAGAATGGATGTAACAGGAAAAACCCTTATTGCATTAATTATACAGGGTGAGTTTTAAATGAGTTCCCCCCCAAGTTTTTTCTACATTTCTTAAGATATCATCTCCGGACCATGTCAGATCATTGTAGAGTAGTAAGTACGTCATTTTGACTGGGTTTAAATTTTAGGCCGCCATCTTGGATCCGCCATATTGGATACAAAGTTATTTTTTCAAATGTAAAGGTAGGGTTGTGACCCACCGTTTCAAACTAACTTTTTACGCTGAATATGATGCTGCAATCCGTTTTTAAAAATGTTGATCCATTCTAAAGTTATGAGAACCTTTTATAACTTTATTTTTAGCCCATTATAACATTGTGCATTTACAAACTAAGGCCATAATCTCAAAATAGTGCTCGATAAAGATAAGTAGACACCACCATTCATTGTTGACCTATTTTCACTTGGTTATGACGGATGTATTTTTTTCAGCCGCCATCTTGGATCCGCCATTTTGAAATGTGATAAATCATTTTAAATATGAAGGTGGTGTTGTGACCCATCATTTTGAATTACATTTTTATGCTGAATTCAATGCCGCAATCCGTTTTTGATTGCCATATTTGGTTTTGGAAATATTGACATTTAAAATAAAATAATTGTTATATTTCATCAAGAAAGCTTGGTAACAAAAAACGGATTGTGACATTAAGTTCAGCATAAAAATGTAGTTCAAAATGATGGGTCACAACACCACCTTCATATTTAAAATAATTTATCACGTTTCAAAATGGTGGATCCAAGATGGCGGCTAAAAAAATGCATCCGTCATAACCAAGTGAAAATATGTCAACAATGAATGGTGGTGTCCACTTATCTTTATCTAGCACTATTTTGAGATTATGGCCTTAGTTTGTAAATGCACAATGTTATAATGGGCTAAAAATAAAGTTATAAAAAGTTCTCATAACTTTAGAATGGATCAATATTTTTAAAAACGGATTGCAGAATCGTATTCAGCGTAAAAATCTAGTTTGAAACGGTGGGTCACAACCCTACCTTTACATTTGAAAAAATAACCTTGTATCCAATATGGTGGATCCAAGATGGCGGCAAAAAATGTAAACCCAGTCAAAATGAAGTACTTACTACTCTACAATGATCTGACGTGGTTCGGAGTTGATATCTTAAAAAATGTAGAAAAAAGTAGGGGGGGAACTCATTTAAAACTCACCCTGTATAGATACTTGTCATAATCACTTATTTTGAAGTATATTCAATAACCTCATTACAACACAATTTGACAAATGAGAAAGTTTAGATACCTAGAAATATAAACACACTTTTTGAAGTCTATTACAGTTATGTCTACAACATTCTGTCGTCTCCACATAATCCTACCATTAAAACAATAGCACAACAGCTGAGCAGGTTAGCCAATACTTCAATCAGCTGCAATGTATACATTAAGCAAAAAAGTGGGAAACTTCTCATTAAACCGTCTAAATTTTGTGAACGGACTACAGTTCAAGAAATTGTTGTTATGGAAATTAATAGTAGCCTAAATAGTTGGAATTCTTATGTTCTTGCCCGAGTTTTTAGACTATTATTGGAACGTTGCATAGCTTATAAATATTTTTGTGTGTTTGACACAAAGAAATTTGTTATTGAACGATGGTAATAAAGATATGACCTCAAATAGACATTTAATAGATGGGAAACTCCAAAAAGAAGTTTTTAGTTTATAAATGCGTTAAGAAAATAATCCTTTTCTCTAAAATGCCGGTAGCTCATGAAACCAAAATCATTCAGGAACCATAGACTTTTTTGTAGCATAATATAGTTTAATTTAATAAAGAAAATAACATCTAATATAAACATGACTTAAATGAAGGCACTGTCTTTACACAGTATTTACATTTTATTTGGTAACCCTTTCCTTTCTTTTGGTTCACTGGAAATTATCTCCCTCCGCTTCCACAGTGTGGTTGTTGTCGACGTTGTCGCAGTTTCGGCCGTCTCCGTAGCCTGAGGGAGAGATCTCGTCAAGTGGCGACTGTCCGTGTACTTCCGTTTGATCTTTTTATCCTCCTCACTCGTACTCTTTTTACTTTGTTTGGTAGTCTGTATTTTGAGCATTCGCTCGATGTCGGCCGTCTTTGATCGCATGACCGCCCCCCCTATACTGGAAATGCTCGGGGTGGATGTCCTGTCTCGGTCCACTTCCTGCACTATCGGGATCGTTCGCTCTACCGCTTGCGTCACTGCGGTAGAGCTCGCACTCTTTGACAGTTTCTCGCCACTCCCCACTCCCAGCCGCTGGTAAGGTGAGTCTTTGCTTCGACGTCGTTCTCTCTCCTGCGTCTGCGTCTGAGACAATGAGCTGGACGACTCTTGGCGGCTGTACGTCTGCTTCACCTGTTGAACTTCACCGGCAGTCTTGATCGTTACCCTCTGGATGGTTACCCTGTTAAAACAGATTGTGTTATTTTTTCTAAATATGTTTACAAAATTATGGTTTTCTAATGCATTTAAAATGTTGAAGTGAAGTAGTGAAGTACTGTAAGCGTACGACTTGTTTGCCAGAGGTGTGTGCGGGGGCAGAGCAGTACCAATCTCCCACCACAGCCAAAGTTTCCGTGGCATTGGTCGGACTACGCTTTCTAAAAACATTCGACCAGCGCTGTTCGTGTTGTTTTCCTTTTTTGCTTATTTTTTTTTAAATTTAATTAAAGTACCATACAATGTAATATGGCATGAGGACTTAACATGCCTTCTCTCATACATTTTCAAATACCATAAACCTCTATACCAACATAACTAACTACCCCAGGCTTATAACTAGTTATATAAAGACAATTGAAATAATTCTTAACATTGTATTGTGTGAAAAAGGGAACTTATCCTCATTATAATAAGCATTTCAGGAATCATCAAAGGGGGCCCCCTAGTCTACACATCAGTTTTATCTGAAAAGGTTAGTGTCTTAATTTTAAATAACTTTAATACAGTCCACATTGCTTACCTATAAATTAACATAAATTCCCCACAGCCTTGTTATCCAGATTCCATTGTATCCAAACACAGTTTTCTATAACTTTTAATTGTGATTGGGTGGTTGGCACAGCAACATTTTGAAACTGTTTGACTACGGGTACTGTAGATATATTTTTTTAGGGTGCAAACCACACTTTTTTGTGAGGTAACATATTATAAAACAATTGCAACCTAATGGCTATAAATGTTAATACAAATCTGATCTTTTAAATACTACATAAAATGTGATCACACACTTTGACAAAGATCCCATCTAATCCACACCCACCTACCTGTCTTTGGTCATTACAATCTAATAAATGGCTCTGGCTGTAGAAACAGCTAATCTTTGTCATATAGCTCCACTTTCAATCATCATTCACTCATAGGATAAAACACACATGTTATCTGTCTCAATGTAACGAGAATAATTAAGACAAACCAATTACCTTTGCTGAGGATCAGGTGTTCGTTTTGTAGGAATGGTAATACGTGCAGTGGTGGCAGGGGTGTCTTCAGGCAGGTAGGAGGAGGGGGAAACAGTGGAATCGGGGGAGGTGGGTGGGGAGGAAGCCCAAGAGGGAGGGGAACTAAACACTCCTCCACTGCTGTAACTGCTGACAGAGTTACGAGGAGGACTTACTGACGAACCGACGGCTGAATCAGTGGCAATAGCGACGTGGTGGATGTACGTGGACGCTTGTGAAGAATCAGATGATCTTACTGTAACTGTTCGAGTAAATTATTAGGTGATTTCACTTTAAAAACAGACATGGGACATGGAACATTTAGACACGAAATAACAAGATTTACATAAATTAACATAAATTCCCCACAGCCTTTTTTATTCAGATTCCATTGCACCCAAACACAGTTTTCTATAACTTTTAATTGTGATTGAGTGGTTAGTACAGCAACATTTTGAAACTGTTTGACTACGGGTACTGTAGATATATTATTTAGGGTGCAAACCACACTTTTTCGTGAGGTAACATATTCTAAAACAATTGCAACCTAATGGCTCTAAATGTTAATAAAAATCTGATCTTTTAAACACTACATAAAATGTGATCACACACTTTATGCGCGTTATGACACGGCGCAACAGCAGTTGTAGATAGCTGCCGCGCCGTGTCATTATAGCGCTATCGTGTTATTTTGTGGTACTGTATGTGTAAATTATTTTGATGTTTTTGACATAAAGCTTCGACGATGTTGCATTGCAAAAAAACATGTCAGCTTTGAACAACATTATTTGAAGTTAGACACAATTTTGGACTACTGATGGAGGTAAGCCTATAAAGTCATTTATACGTAGTCCAGGAGCTATCAGAATGAATACTATAATTTCAGATCTTATGGCCGAGCAATATGATGAACAACAGGCTGATCATTTTGAGCAGGATAGTCGACGAATCGCTGCTCGACACTTTTAAGAACGTCAGTGCAATGAAGTCTGAGATTCCTCAAACTTATAAAGTCTCCAACTCAGTGGATGAGATGCACCCACATTGCAAGCGGACAATGTTTAAAAATTTTAAATACCGAGCTATCCTTGCTCCACTTAATGCTGAAACTGGAAAGATAAACAACGAATTTACCCAAATGTCAAATGCTACAGAGTCATGAGGTTTGTAAATTTTTGATTCAACAATTAACTAATTTAATAAATATTTTCAATCCAAGCAAAGATTGGTCTCCCGGTACTGCAGCATAAAATACTCACCTAGGTCTGCGATTCTGTCATTAAAGTACTTACTGTATGAGTGTAATATCTATGGTTTTTGAGTTAAAGGATGTATGAAAAATATTCATTGTGTGTTGAATGGTTTTTGGGAATCAACCTATTGTAGTCTTACATTCCAATCTCAACATGTGCATTTGAATTACAATTGAATAATATGGTTATGTTTTACAAACAAGTGACAGTTAACATCAGTAGGTGAGCTTGGCTTTCCTGTTAGTGTTATATTTACTTAGTTATTGTTATATATTTACATCCTACAAGAATAATTATAGTATTTCATGCTATTTTCTAGTAATATGCCTTTCTGCAATATTTTTTATCAGAATACTACTCATTAAAATAGATTGAATTTTATGAATAAGAATTTCATTGAATATTTGTCAAATTCACCACGGACTTGACCTACCATGATGCCTATCCTGGTCTTCGATGTATGGGATGTCCGAGTCGTCCAGACCCAGTGTGAGTGATGTAGAGGCAGGCACAGGTATCTTAAGTGTAGCTGTGATCACCCCTCTCTCTCCCCCCTTACCTCTAACCATCTGTAATAGGGATTATCTTCATTATTTTCAAGTAAGATTAGGAGCAGAAGAATGAACCATCAATCTTTTAAATGCAAACGTTTTTGGGTTATGTATGAATCTTTCTTTGGTTCCTCTATGAAGCATCTAATTGAGGCTCTGGATAGATCTTTCTTTGGTGTTCATGATAGAGCATCATATTTTGGTATTGATGGATCATATTTTGGCGTTTTGGATAAAGTCTCCTTAGAGGAGTCTAGATGGAGTATCCTTTGAGTATTATTCACATATTTTCATGAAATTATGATAGATGATACAATTGATTTTTACCATAGCACACAATATTATTAAATTCCAAAAATACCCCCTGCCGCAGCAAACCTGCAGACTAAGCAAATTTCCATTTGCCTGATTGGATTTACACTAAAATGTCTCCTTAAAAATATCACATTTATTCCCTATTTAAATAACATTAGTTTAACGAGTACTTAGGTTTGCTGCAACAGGTAGGGTAAAAAGGTGTTTTTTTTTTAATTTTAATAGTTTAGTATGAAATGAATGCATTTTCCAAATTTGATCAAAATATGTTCATAAACAAGCAAACTACAACAGTTGACTTATTCTCCATTAGAATAACATGGACATTTTAAATTAAAGATTTTTGGAATTTTCTCCGTAACCATTAGGCGCATAATAACGCTTCAATATACTAAATTATTTGTTTTTTTTAAGCTCTACAAAATGGTTAGGAAAGATATTGCTAAATTTCAAGTGTTTAGGGTCAAAAATGGGAAAAATATATTTTTACCCTATAAAACACCCATAAACCCCGGTTCTCATAGTCCGATCATGATGATTCGCGAATTCGTTTAAATAAACGTAGGTTTACACGTTTATACCGAATTTCATCAAAATCAGATGATTTTTTTCTCGAGTTATCGCGCTAACGAACATATATATATATATGAACTAGAATGGATGGTGTTTTTGATAAAACGAAAAAGTAGGATAAAAGGGAGGGTAAAAAGGTGTTTTTTTTTTGTAAAATTTTAATAATTTAGTATGAAAGAATGCATTTACCAAATTTGATCAAAATATGTTCATAAACAAGCAAACTAGAACAGTTTACTTCTCCATAAAAATAACATGGGAATTTCAAATTTACAGATTTTTGGAATTTTCTCCGTAACCATTAGGCGCATAATAACGCTTCAATGTAGTAAATTATTTGTTTTTTTACGGGCACATATATCTTATCTTACTAATATTATAAATGTGAAAGTTTGTGTGTTTGTTTGTTTGTTTGTTTGAAGTTCAATCACGCATTAACTACTGGACGGATTGGGCTGAAATTTGGCATGATGATAGCTCACATTCCCGATTAACATATAGGCATATTCTTATCTCAAAAATCCTTTCGGGCTCCACCCCAGTGGCTCTGTAGTTCCCCATGTTAACCTTATGAGTATTCATATTTAAAGGGAATTAAAGTATTTAGTCAGCTGTTTCAACTGAAAAAGTTGGTTCTATGATAAACAAAAGCATTAAAAAGTTATAAGATTTACCAACAGGTTGCAGCACTATTATTTTTTTGCATTTATGAAAACAGCTAATTTGAACTAAGCAGCAGCAAAAAACTGTGATAAGCAATGAGAACTGTCAAAGTAGGATTGTTTACAGTTATATTTATTTTTTTATTTCATGAATAATTTGTGATATTTAGAAAATTTTTTTATAATTTGTTTTTATCTATTGTTTAGGTGAAGTGGTAGAACATTACGACTATTGTAGATGTGCCATACTATAGTATACTGGCCTCTAGGGACCTCAAAACGAAAAAGTAATTCGGTCCCGGGTCCAGGTCTTACCATGAGTACTACGGTAATAGCTTATTCCCTATAGGGGAAATTTGCTAATATTCCCAATAGGGGAAATTCCCTAAAAGAAGTCCCCAATTGGATACCTAATGATTAATGGACATTAATTATCACTCATTATCGCACAATTAAAATAATATGTAATACCTTTTACCTTGAAACACAAAATACCTGGTAAAAATCGGATTCTGATTCTCTGCCATCTTAATAAGTAATATTTGGACGGTGGAAGAGGTCGCATCGAGATATTTATAATATGAGTTCAGTGGGTGTACCGTGGCTGGCTTCCAGAATGTAGATTTTGAATTGTGTATTTTCTTAGTAAAGTATTCGGAAGCTCAGGTATGCAGTGGAGAGACACTTGTTATATTTAGCTCTGTGTCCCTCACTGAGTTTACTGAAGAAACAGCTTTTGTTTGGGAGAAAATTGTCTCTGCATCAATTGTTAGAGTTCAAAGAAAAATTATTTTTAAGAGAAGTACCTATGGCATGATGAATACATTTTTATAATCGACCTAAGTGAACTTATATTGTAAAGGAAATTATGCTGTGGACTGTTTGCAATAGTTTTAAAAATCTTCAGTAGAATCATCAATTTATAATTTAAACCAACAACCTTTCTTCTTGATTAAACATGAATTTTCATCACTCCATACAGAAAATAACTATTTTTGATTACATTTGTAAATATTGTTGCCCAAGCTCTAATTCAGATATGGGAAAAGCGATGAACTGATTTTGCCTTGCTCTCAATTTACTTTCCCTTGCTCTCAAAGTTGATTGTTTTAAGGGACATTTATATTATTGATAATCAATAATATATACAATTTCTCCATTTGCCCACCACGCTTGCTGGTAATAATTTACCAATTATTTTTACAATTTAAATCAGTTGTTTTTACTGTTCAACAATGTAAATGTAAACAGCACAAGAATAGACATAAGCTAGTGTTGCTGTGTTTTAACATAGTGTGTGTTTACGGTGCAATAAACTTCTAACCTTGGACTTAAAACGGTTTCATTGTTAGGTATGTTTTGTACAATACATTATTTTATTTCCACATTAAAAAATAATATCAAATATGAAATATATTAGTTTTAATTTTACCGAGGTCACTTATTTTCCATTTGATTATTTTAAGTTGTGATGAAAGAGTTTTGTTCTTAACTTATATAGGTATCGAAAAAAAAATTTTTGGCAATTGCTCCAATAAGTTCTGTTCTCGGCTTTGGTACGCAAAACTCCCTTTCACATACTCGGCAATGATAAAATCAGTTTGGTTTTGCCTCACACATTAAAATAGAGATTGGACCAGAAAATGCCACTTTTGATGCAGAAATAAAATATACTATATCTGAAAGAATAAAAAATCCTTGGGTAGCTTCACTGATTCCCGGGTAAACTAGCTAAACTCTATATCTCTTCAAAAAAAAAGAAGAAACCCATTCCTTTATAGATATTCATAGGTTGCTTTTTTATTGCAATTGAAAAGGTGAACATTTTTTGGTTAAACTAACTTTAGTTGTAGAAAAATTTAAATTGACTACATTTTAAATCATTATTTTTAAATTTTGACATCCAGAGGCCATTTTTAATTATGAACTTGTAAACAAAATTGCTGCCTTACAACTAAATATGCTACACTATTACTAATACAAATCAGATTTAGAATAGGATTGGTACTAGGAGTAGCAGAAGATTTTCACCAAAACTATTGTCACTCATTCAAAAATGTTATCTTTAATCACCATAGGATCCTCAATGTAGAGAGATTCATCAGGATGACTTGTAGAAGAGGTCCTCCTTGAGGGAGTAGATTGGTCAGAGTCTATTCTTCTTCTGGTTGTCATTGTTTGTTCTTCTCTCCAACGCTTTTTGGTCACACGTTCTCGAGTTCTTTCCTTTTCTTTTTTACTGAAATAGAGATCAGAATTATTTTTAATGTATGCAATATATGTCTGAAATTTTAAAATTCTTTTTGATGAATGTTTTATCCTAAAGGGGAATGTGTAGTCCTGCATTAGGCCCTGAACACATGAGGGCGGCAGCCGCCACGACGGCCGCATAGACCGTACACATGGCTGCGGCTGCCGCCGCGGTTGTGGTGTGATTTTTGGCTCCTCAAAACCCTTGGACACAACAGCCAGTACAGTTATGGAGCTGGAAGAGTTAACCTGCCTTTGGTTATTGCATCGAAGATTAAAAGCAAGGCGAAGACGACAAAGGAGAAGGTGGGTGTACCCTGTAATACCTTGGGTTCATTTGTTACTCTGTACCCAAAAATAAGAGAATACCCTAATAAGTTCTTCAACAACTTTCGGATGAGTGTAAACTCTTTTGATGAACTGTTGACTCATGTAAAAGATCACTTACGTAGTGAACACAGGAGATGTCCACAGGGCGAGCGCGCAGATGTGTGTGACTGTGTGATCCTAGTACCAACCGCAAGTCAACCGCGGCGGCTACCGCCCTCATGTGTACGCTCTCATGCCAACTCAAGTAACTCCAACCGCGTGGGAGCCGCGGCGGTCGAAGGGAAATCCACGACCGCCGCGGTTTGTTGCGGTTGACTGGAAGTGGGCGGTTCCATGTGAACGGTCCCATTTGCTCCTTTGTAATTTCAACCGCCGCGGTTCCCGCGCAATAGCAACCGCGGTGGCTGCCGCCCTCATGTGTACAGGGCCTTATTAGGAGGCTTCAAAATGTTAATTTGAAAATTTCAAGGTGTGGGAGGAACTTTTGATTTATTTTCTTGTGGAGGTTCTTTCTCCACCATGAGCATTGTAGTACATGAGGGCCTGGGGGGGAGGGGTAATTGCCTTAGAGACCAGTTCTAGTGTTAGACACCACTTAACTATAGCATTGAATCCTCCTCTATATTTCTCTCTTTTTCTCTCTATATTTATTCTATGAGGTATCACTAATCAATATGCCAACATTTAACAACTTAAGAAGAATTTTCAATTTGTTGACAGTTGTTTTACCTAGGTTTCATCTCCAGGTCAGGTCCACCCATCCCCGCAGTCTCGTGGGTGAACGCCTCTCGTGACCAGACTTTGCGCTCCATCAGTGACTCTTGAGAGATCTGGAACCTCTCATCCGACACCGTGCTGTTGTCTAGATCCTCAGTCCTGGAGGAGGTTACACAAAAACATCAGCACAAAATATAATGATACGGAAGTGTGAATGTAAAAGGTATAAGTCATATAAAAGGTAACAGAATATTCAGCAAGAGTTAATAACACGGAAGTATAAATATAAATCAACAAGTTTCAATAACAAGTTGGTTTATTGGCAAAGAAGAACTTGGGTCCAGTAACAAAAACTACAGTATACCTAGCTATTTCCTTGAAAATTAATTAAATTCTACAATCAACAACAAAGTAGAGTATTAATTGCATAATGGTGTTGCTTGCGTTAGATTGATTGCCGTTTTTTTAAAGAAAAAAGTATAGATAGGCTTGATTGAGGATAAGAACGTCCTAACATTATAACTCAATCTTTGATATTTTCAGTCACACATAATCAACATTATAAAATTCCAAAAGTGTTAGTTTTAACAAAAACAATAAAAATGATGAGTTTTCACAGTATCAAGAACAGTATTAATAGTATCACAGTATTAAAGAAAACTCATTTTATTAGACAACTAAAACAAATAATTAAATTAGTTTTAAAAGGGTATACTTAGTTTTCAATAATGTACATATATGCATATATGAATTTGAACGGAGGGTGTTTTTGGCCTTTGGGGACCTCAAAACAAAAAAGTAATTGGTCTAGGTCTTACCATAAGACCTACGGTAGAATAGATCGATTCTACCTTTGGTAGAAATAGATATAGGGAATAGATTATTCCCTACATGGGAAATTCCCTAAAAGTTTATTGACAAAGAGAGTATCAGCGAGAATATGTCAAGTAAATAGGTTTTTAATCTCTTTATAAAATACAGTTATTTTATAATTGAATTATTTTTACTACAATGGTCAAACTTACTCTTCAGTAGCTAAATCCTTTTTTTGCATTATTTGGTCTAAGAATTCAGGATGAGAGTCCATCATGTGGACGTAAATCTCGTGAAGCAAATCTGCTGAAACCTGCACAAGAGGATATAAATAAAAATTTGATGAAATAATAGGGTACTTACCTAAGACAATTTGGTTTCATAATTTATTCTTTTGATAGATGATTTGAATATTAAAGTTTCTACATGATTTTTCTTTAAAAAATTTATCAGATTTCAACTACCTACCTGAGGGTTTTTGCAACCAATGACAATGGAAAGAAACAAAAAATAAACAATTGGTTAGCAACAGTACAACTTCAAGGACGCACTGTTCCTTTGGAAAAAACTCAGGTCTAAATGGCTTTCTAAAAATGTAATTAATTGTATCATTCAAATCATCCCAGAAGCCCGGAAGGGCACTACTGTGTTGTGTCGTTGTGTAAATCAGAAACATGAGCACTAACTAAACACGGAGCAATAGTTAATATTATTTGAATTGGGCCCATACAATATTAATTAAAAATCTTTAGCCCAATCCAAAATCAGGATGGGTGGAGAATAAGAAAGAACTGAGAGCTTGAGGATGAGTACGGATAAAATTAAGGTAGTAAATTAAAGTCTTTAACAAACTCAAGCCCCGGTCAAGCCAGCAAGTTGAAATCTGTCATCAGTGTTGTGTTCTTTAGCTCTTCCACCACTACTGTGGTCGGTTCCACAGTTCCCACCCTTTTGCGATAGACTTGTTATAGTCACCAATAACTAGGTCTACACCCCCGCCAATTATAACCTGTCTTCTACCATTAGATTTCTATGGGTATGGTGAAACAAGAAACCCCTATTGAATCCATTGCCAGTTGACACACGTGTACAATGATAAGTGTTTAGGTGTAAAACCTGTACATACAAAATTATAGCATTGAATTGAAAATAACTTTATTCATAAATCATACAAGTATGTACATTGAATGGCGTCAAAATTCTTAAACTACTTAAACTTACAACATAATATCAGCTGTACAGTTCATCAAAATTATGCAGTACTTTTTGTGTTAAGTATATTTTAAGCTGGGATTTAAATTTTTTACAATCATCAATTTTCCTCAACCCCTCTGGAAGCCCTTCCAACAATTTTCTTCCAGCACATGACGGTTTTTTGTTATAAAATTCCAATCTATGGGCACCAACAGCAATTTTGTTTCTATGCCGGGTGCCATATTCATGATTATCCCCTAGTTTAGGTAACATACTTTCAGACAAAAGATTTTTAGTTAAAAGAACGGTATGGAAAACATAAATGCCGTACACAGTCATTATACCCATGGCTAAGAAATGATCACGTACGGAAACATCCCAGTTTAAATTTAACATTAGTCTTATTGCTCTTTTCTGCAAAATTAAAATTCTGTCCAAATTTTTCTTTGATGTTCCACCATAAACACTTATGCCAAATGATATTGCGGATTCAATGAAAGCAAAATAAAGCTTTTTCAAAATATCTGCTGAACATACTTAATACCTAACATATTATATATATGTGGCTATAGATAGCTAGAAGAAGATTGTACGTATGCATTTCAAAGATGATCCTGGGAACATCACCAATTTTCCATCCAGACATAAATTAAAGTTAAAATAACTTTGATTGTGAATATTTGACTGCCAGTCTTTTCTTCTCCCTTCTGATGAAGCACTGAAGTCCCCAACTGGGGTGAAATATTAAGTTTTCTGTTTTGTGTTATTTACTTACTTGTGTGCTGCGTCGTTGACCGACAATGTCAGATAGACTGCGTTATTATATACATTTAAAAATAAACACTACTAGAAATCTAATGTTATGTGTTTTATATGTGTTACCAAGGCTAATCTGGACTCTATCTACCAGGTAAGGTAGCGGATCCCTATCCTTGTATATAATAATCCTGATTGTGAATCAATGTTTTTACCAGATAAAAACTATCACATAGTGGTAGGAATTTACAAAAATAGTAATGAAAAAAGTAAAGAGCCTCGCGGGTAGCATTAAACTTGCTTTCTAGACCACAATGAGCTGGTCAGGGGATTTAACTTATGGAGAACCCTCATGTATACCAACCCAGTCACTATGGTAATCACTAAGACTTATATGCGGAAGGCAGGAATGCGAGATGGAATGACAATGAACATTCAATAAATAAAATGTCTATCTAGGTAACGTAGAAGGAAGAAGGCTGCTTGACAGACTAAGAATGAAATGGACATCACAGAGAGGAGAGACTGTCGATGTTATGTATTATTATGTGTATATTAGTTTATTTTTCCCATTTATCCTATTAAACCAATCCAATTCTGGTTAAAAGTGTATTAGTTACCAGGTAGAGATCTCGATAGTTGTCGATGAGCGCTCGGATGACATTGATAGCGTCGCTGCGCTCCTCTGTGCGCTCCGCACTCAACTCATCCTTCCCAGAAGGTTTACAAGGATGCAGGATGTTGGGAGCAAACAGTGTCGCCAAGTTGTTGCTGTCCATCTTGTTGCCCACCACCCATTCTCCTAGAGTCAAAATAGTTTGTTAAAGATGTTCTCTCTGAATTCATAATAAATACAGATATATCTTGGTCGTTTATTACAAATATATTGTTATCACTGAAACTGGCCAAGCTACTTATTTGCACCCAAGATAACTAAATTAATTGAGCATTCACACAGGCTACCTGATGAATTTGCTATACAATAAAGCCATTCCAAGATTGTAAAAAAGTTAAAGTAACTCAATGCAAAGTACAGAAAATTCAAGTTATTTATTTATGTTTTTTATTCAAACCCGCATTGTCCACAGTACAGAACTGGAAATATAATATAACTACCCAACAATGACATGCAATATAAAATATCTTGAAGTATATAAGAGGTGTTGTATCTTTCAAGATGTTTATGACCCCACAATAATCTCAAGTGTCCTAATTTTAGGAAGCCCAAACTGAAATGGCTGAAAGTTTTCAACTATGTACCAGTAGTCCAATTCATTGTCCTGATTTCTTAGTGGATTGTAAAAATATATGCAGCGTACTCAGTGGCTGTTTTAGAATATCTTAAATATATATTGGGATTCGGTCATATACATATGTGCAGTTCTGGGGAAAGACTACCACTAACTATGACACACTAAAATGGTTCAATTCATCCACATGTTTGTTCTGTAACTGGCTACAAATTTAAGATGGATATGGACTCTAGAGTTTTACTCATACCTGAGTTGTCTTTGTGATCCTCCGAATTGTGGGCCACTTCAGCCAGTAGACAGAGCAAGGCGTACAGAGTGTCTCGGTTGGGCACAGGCAACAGTTGGACCAGATGTTGCAATGCTTCTTGCTGTAACCGCCTGTTCCGTATCCCTGTAGACATACACTGTATACACTCGTACATTAGCTAAAACACCATTGTATACTACAAAACATATACAGGTAAACTAGCTAATAGACCTTCATATAAACAAACACACAGATATTGTATAAGCCTACACTTTTACATTAGTTAAAACACCATCACATAGTTACTATTATATTCAAACACATAAACTCTGTGTACAAGTGTACATTAGTGTAAACAGCAAAAATCTACGTACTACAATCAAACACAAATACAATGTATACCCTCATACATTTTAGCCAAAACCATATTGTATACTACTACAATAATACACAGAAAGAAAATAGTTGTGTGAGCCAGTCACAGAATGCGCTAGTGTCTACAAGTTCTATTTCATAACTTATATTTTGTTGCTGGCCAAGTTGATTGGTCATACCAGTTGCTATAGCTCACAGTAAATCATTAGTTTAACTTGGTAAAAAATGTTTTCTATTCAACAGAAATTAGGAATTTAGATCAGCACAATCTGTTGGGTCACATCAACTACAACGATTTTGATTAAAAATCTGGAAACAATTTAACATGGGGATTGGAATGTCTAGTTGTATTAATAGTCAAAGATACAACACTCTCTTATACTACAATCAAACAGATAATTTACACATTTTCACACATCTAATCAGTGTATCCTTGAACTTACTTGAAATTAATAGTGAATAATTACCCTACTCCTCTAGTATGCCGCTTAGACACCTTAAATAATACCCTGGATATACTACTATACTTACATTACCAGTAACTATAATACCATAATATTATACACGAAACAAACTGGCATTGTTATAACAGCGCAGTGTCATGAATATTTTCTCTATCTGACAAAGCTATGAGAAGTTTAAAAAAAACATTTTAAACCAATTTAATGTGGTTGCAGAAATAACATTTAGTAATATGTTATTTAAGGTGTTTGGAAAGTGATTTATTAACAATATTTTTTTAGATTTTTGTAACAGGGAAAGAATTGTCATGAGTTGATTAATTCTAAAAAGTCAGAAAAGTAGAACTAAAAAGTCAATTTAAGAAAGTTATATCAGAACAATTTTTGTGAAATAAAATTCTTAAACTAAACCACACACCTCTACCACCTAATATGTATCTAAAAATCTTGTTATTAAACCATAATCGAAAATCTGTTATTAAAACAACGTAATATAACTTCAACTTGTTAATCAAACAGTTGACTTCATCAACTTACCTGATTCAGAACCACAGAAAAGCTTGTTTCTTAGATTAGTAAAGTTTTCAGGAGTTGAAAACGTCAGAAGTTAATAATAACTTGAATTTTGAATTAAATGTAACTCGAGAATTGTCTTGTTTTGAATGTTCCATTAGAGAAGAATCATGTTCAGCTTTCAGTAGGTTGCCAGACAAAAATGAATAAATTTTTCGATTATGCTAAGCCAATATATAAGTTTCTTTTATAAAGATTACAAAAGTAAACAGTTATTAGTTTTAAGAATTGTGAAACACAGGTGGGAACAAAGTTAGTAGTTAGTGTTAGTGTATTGGCGACAAAATGGCTCCAATTTAGGTTTCCATACCCTCACAGATAGGGAATAACGGACAAATTACAATTTTTTCAAAATACTTCTATTTGTTTGGATAAAATTGGCATAAGTAGACTAAATATTATTTTTATTTTGAAATTATTGTCATTTTTAGGATTCTCATTAAGTTTCCAAAAACAACATTACAGATTTGTTGATATATAATATCTAAGCCCTTATTCTGCAATGGAAGCTCAAATTTATTTACATGTATTTGCTGAAATAATATGGCAATATCTGCATTAAAAGTTATGTTTTAATGGGGTGTATTGTTTGTGAACTGAGATTTTCTAGCAATAAAATGAAAGAAATCATTTAATTTATAAATTATATTTTATGTGAATTAACAGTCACAGGCAATAAGTATTGTTGTGCAATTTTCATTCTCTACGAATTACCAATTTACAGATAATCTCTGCATTGATTCTGAGGAGTAGCAGAAATTGGATGAAATAAATTTAACTCATTTGTGGTTAGATACCAGCAGAAAAAAGGGAAGTCACGCCAGGAACAAGATGTTAATTTTGTAATTAATTAAAAATTTAGTTTAATTTCTCATTTTTTTAAATCATGTTTTATAAGGATCATACTTCTCAAGGTTCACTCAGGGGGTTTTAGATGAAAAATATTTACCCATGAAACAAAAAGAATTAATTGGTTGTTTACCTAGAAAAATTATATTTCTTAAGATCTGTCCATTAATTACTGTAGCATTCTAATCTGTTATTATGATCATTTATCAGCCACTATAGGTCGGCCGCTTAGAAAACGACCTCCTCCAGCATTGGTTTAGCATTTTCTAAGCGGCCGAACTATAGTCCTGGTGATTCCCCTAGTGGGAGAATTTAAGTGTCAAAGTATCAGAAGACATTGATTATTGTAATGAGTGTCATTTAAAAGGAGTATGCTTTTGTTGAAGATCAAACCAGAGGTATTGGTAACCGTTGAGGATGGTTTGGGATTTAACAGCAAAAAAAGATAAAAGATTTGATGTTGATTTGTTGGTAGGAAAAATGGTTGGCCAAGGAGTAAAGGCGAGGACACACTTGTCATACACCCTTCCGATCCTACTACAATCCGATTTGCGGGATTCCAGAGGGATCGGTGCGGGATCAGAGGAGGTGAGCACACATCTCATACACGCTTCCGACCCATCTCCAATTTCTTCCACCTGGTCGATCAACACTCGCCAGCCTGATTTGTAAATTACGTGCAGAAGGTGATAAACATGTTCAAAAACTTCGAACTTCGCGATTTAGCCATGATGGCGGTTTGTCTAGATGAAGAGGAAGAAAGTCAGACATCTCTGGAGGGCAGTGGAAAACGGAGAATTTGGGTCCATTCTGCATGGAAGGAAAGATCCACAGAAGGAGAGTTTTCTACGATCATGCCTCATCTCTTGGACGACTAGACGAAATTTTGCCATTATTTTCGAATGTCGAAGTCGACGTTCAACCAGTTGGAGCTCAAACTTAGAGAAAAAATAACAAAATAAAAATTTGTACAAGAAACTAGTCTAGAAACAACCCGTCCTGCATCCGACAAACGAATAGACTGCAGTGTTGGTGCGTGATCGGAGTCAAAATCGGAGTAGGATCGGAGTATGACGTGACGCGTGTTGGAGAGGTGTAAACACCCGCTTTCAAAGTTATGTACCATATTCCCCTCTCCGACAGTCGTACCACAGTATGATCGGAGTCGGATCGGAAGGGTGTATGACAAGTGTGTCCCCGCCTTAAGTTCCTAAACCTAGATCTGTTGAATACAATACTTACTCTGTGTCTGAATGAAGGCCTGGTAGAGATCTTTGCACAATAGGGAGTCTGGAAGATCTCTGAAGTACTCTTTGAGCAATGTTGCGACATCATGAGGACATAAGTCTGCTTCCATCGTCATCTCCTTCCCACAGTCAAAGTCTTCTCTCAGCTTTGCATGCAACAGAAAAATATTCTCATATGACATAGCATTGCAATTATTAGAAACAGTACTATAATAAATATTGTCACATAATGCATGACTATGGAGGACGTAGATTATATGAAAATGCAGAGAAGGGTATTATAGTCCATTCACGGAATTTAGGCGGTTTATTGGGAAGTTTTCCTGGGTTCCCCACCACTTGTTTAGTTTAATTATTTCAGCTGATCAGCTCTCGGCTGTTTTTACAAAGTTAGAGTGAGGTGGAGGCGATGGAATCACTTCTCCTTAAACCGCCAAAGTTTTGTGATTGGAGTACAATAGATGATTATTATTACTATTAGAGTCATCAGTTAATTAGCTGGGTAAAATTTGTATTCATTTCCCTACATTGATAGTCAATACACCAACTTTTTTACATTGTCGTTAAACTCCTTGTCTCAAGTAACACTAGACAAGAATACATTGTATTTCCTTTACAAATTGTTGGTACAGTAACGTTACAATTTTATTTCTAATACTTTTAAGATTTATTGGCCTACTTCGATGTTTTAACAATGCCCTGTAATGATAACAGAAGGTTACCTTAGTGATAATGGTGTTTAATTCAAAAAAAGGTTACGGTAATGTAGTCAGTTAGAAACTTTAAAGTCTACAGCTAAACTTCAAGGTATCTTAAGATATTGCAGCCTCTGGTAAGAGGTTCAATATACCTCACAAACAATTGATTTTTTTGTGTACCTATTTGAAAACAAATCGGACAAATCATTAGGTAGACAACTAATAACACAGATTTTTCTGAAGTTCTCACTTACCTGCCGTACTCTCTTCTTGGAACTGCTGACTCTGAAGATGCCGAGGGTGTGGAGCCCGTGGTTCTCCAGGTGCCTGAGACAGGAACTGACGATGTTTGGTACTCCGCCCTGCTCTAGACTGAGATCCAGGGCCGAGCCTACTGACAGGGAGTCCAACAGTCCAGGCATACTCAGCGTCGGGGACATCAGACTCTCAGAGGAACCTTTCTGAAACACAACTTATGGTTTATCTGCTATGGTTAAATGGAGGTTTAATGTCTAAAACTGTCAAGCCCAAAAACTGTATTAGTTACACATTACTTCAGGCTGGGTATAGATTCGCGGCATTATCACATAGAACTATAGCTCAACACCACCAGGTGATTGCCAGGATTTGGCTGTAGACCTATACCTAATACAGATTAAATATATTCTTCGATTTTTTTAGCATTTTACTACACAACTAATCTTATCTTACTAATATTATAAATTTGAAAGTTTGTGTGTTTGTTTGTTTATTTGTTTGTTTGAAGTTCAATCACGCATTAAATACTGGTCGGATTGGGCTGAAATTTGGTATGATGATAGTTCACATTCCCGATTAACTTATAGACATATTTTTATCTCAAAAATCCTTTCGGGCTCTGCCCCAGTGGCTCCAAAGTTTCCCATGTTAACCTTATGAGTATTCATATTTAAAAGGAATTAAAGAATTCAGTCAGCTGTTTCAACTACACAAGTTGGTTCTATGATATTCAAAAGGGTGCAGCACTATTATTTTTTTTGAATTTATGACAACAGCTAATTTGAACCAAGGAGCATAAAAAAGCTGTGATACACAATGAGAAATTTACTTTTTTATATTGTTTAGGTGCAGTGTTAGAACATTATAGCTATGGTAGATGTGCTATACTATAGTATACCATGAATTAAAAGAACAAAATGTTCTTAAACTGTGTCCTCTCCCATTGCAAACGCAAAGCACGAGTATAACTGCAATATTAAATTTATACTTATACCACGCCAACCCCGTACGGAGGACGGGTACTCTGCTAGTTTATTATAATGTTATGTTAAAATCCATTTCAGTAATGATTCCGTGGCCCCTCTGACAAGTTCGACCCCATGCTGGTTATATGTGTTTGGCATTACCCTATTACACTGGGTTGCTGATAGGCCGAGCAGTGGATGAGTGGCTTTCGGCCAAGAGAGATTGGTGAATTGACACTCACACTTGCACTGGCAGCTTGGTAGCCATTGTCTGTGCATTCCGGGAGTTATCTTTGTTTTACCAGTTACTTTCTCAAAGGTTGATTGTATTCAAAGAAATTAACTGTATAAAACTCTACAACCACTACAAGGTTCATTGTAATTTGAAGGAAGACAGAATTTAAGGACCTAAGACCTGCAAATACCCAAGGTTATAAGATTAGGAGTCAAAATTATCAAGGCCCACTTGGTTAGTTGTGTTTCAAAACCTCTGGAAAACGTGTTATAAGACTTTTGTCTAAACATCTTTAAGTGTTGTTCTTAAACGCTTAGGAAGATCCTAAGATCCATCCATAGTAGAAATAAAGTACATAAATTTTCTAAAGAATTCAAAAGTTCATGCTGTTTTGAAACCACATAAATAAAGTCAAGTGTCTAAAAACTTTGCAGTTACTTGAAGGTTTTTTTTATTTTAAAGCCACTTATAGGTAGGTGTCAAAGACATGGTGAACCATCAGCTTTGAGTAGTTTCTAAGTACAGTGCTATTGTTCCAACTTTTTATACAAAAAATTAGTGTCTAAAACTTTGAATGACAGGTGAAACAACTATAGTTCGGCCGCTTAGAAAACGACCTGCGCGCTAATGCTAAACCAATGCTGGAGGAGGTCGCTTTCTAAGCGGCCGAACTATAGCTACAAATACTAAACAATACAAACACAGTTATTATATCAACAATGCAAACTGCAGTCCTACATCACTGAAGTTCACATTAATCTGTTAATGTGTGTGTATAAGTCCACAGTACACCTGGACTATATCCAGGAATGCATTTCCCGCTAGAAAGTAATAAACTGCTTAATTTAATCTTTAACAAATTACTTTTTATTTTGTGAACACAGGAAAACTTGATTGAGACCGTCATTAGTTAACGCTCAATATATCTGAATGGAGCCAATTTTCAACCACTAACTCAGTGGTCTCAGTTACGTATCTGAGACTATGAGTTTATATAAACCTGCAATGGCAGGTGTGTAAGCTTAATTTTATAACCCAGATTAAGCAGCTGAATTCAGTTTCAGCATTAGATTCGGTTGGTTAAAGACAAGACACATATGTATATAGAGAGTTGTATCTATATCATACATAGACCCTAGTCTTGTGTTCTACAGTGCAGGTCTGTCTGCTACAAGACACTATTAGCCGATTCAATTCCTCTAAATGAATTGTATTATTCATAGGCTGTTTTTATTTAATTTATTAAATACATAAACATAACGAAGCCCAAGGATACAAAAGTCAAACCTTTAATAGAAAGACTCATTGGTTAATTACGCATATAACAAACAGCAACAGGTTCAAGAATATACTCTAGATCCGGCCAGAAATCTATTTACTGACAATGACTAGACTATATCTCTATATTTTTGTAAACTCTTGCTTTTCCTCTAGTATAAGTTTATAGTCAAAGAAAGCACCTATCGTGTGTTAGAAGAAACAAAAAGATTTTGTTTGGGTACAAAATAATTAATTATGATTGCTTGGCGGTGTAGCAGAGGTAAAATAAACTATTTTCTTTTCTTATTTAAAGATCCGGAGGCCTCAATGTAAAAGAGATATTTCACAAAAAACAAGCCAAAATACAATGAATAACACAAAACTGTACAACTAATGCAAATTTAGACGACACTTTGAATAACAGTAGTATTTTTGTACAGAATGACATATGCACGTGGTCTATGTTTAGAACCGATCTTGACTGGCGTCTGTGCCAACATAAATATTGTTATCAACAATGAGCAAAACTCAGCGCCAACGTTTAAGAGCCACTTTGCCTCCTCCGCTCTCTTATCAGTCGGATTGTTGAACATAGATCAAGTGTTCCATGAAAGTTTGTCACACTTGGTAGTTTAAATAGTGTTAGAGATTGTAAAGTGTTCAAGGAGTAGTACTATAAAGTGTTGCATCGTGTCTCTAGGCTGCAACAAAGTGTAAACTGTTCTGGGGAGGAAATGTGGTTAAAAAACTTACGATTATTACCTATCCAATTTTTATCTATGGTACTCTTGTATTAAAATATAAGTTATAACCTACGACCGTTTTTTAAAGTACCCTTTTCTGTTAAGTTCTTAGAATTGAAAAGTTTCTCATAACAGCATTGTTTTACTTTGATAACAGCATAGTTTTTTACTTAACAACACGGCTAACAGACCAATGAGGTTCAAGGATTGAGAGAAAAGAAGTAAAATTGTAATGCTTCGAAGTTCAACTAATCAGCTGTTCAGACCAATTTAATTGTTGAGAGGTGCAATTAGTGTTTGGTACAATTTTTCGTTGCATCACTGTCAGTGGCAATGAGAGGTTATGAACGAAAACAACCTCTCCTGACTAGTGATTTTTAAACTACTTATCGTTGTAAAAGATATTAAAGTGTAACGAATAAAATTAATATTAGTATGGTCTTCTTTACCAAATTAGCCTAAAACTATTTTTGTAAAAAGCGTTTTTCCCACGAATTTCCTCATTTTATTTTTCAACTTATCTTTTACAACGACAAAAACAAGCTAACGTATTTTTCGTGCAAACAGCCAAAACAAAATTAATCAAAACGCTATCAGCTGTTAAATAAATAATATAGGTCAGTGGCACTAAAATAGTTTGAAGTGGCTAACATTAGCTGCCGTGCTATGAATAGTTCCAGGGAATAGACAAAGCGACAGCGACATCGTGTGTCCGACAGATCGGAACACTTCGTAAAAAATCGGCAACAAATCGGCTGTTGATATCAGTCTGGACAGGCAGAAGTGGTCAGATGATGAACACGGGCTGAAATAGCACAAGATATCAATCCGGAGACATACATCTGGTCCACACCTCGAAATACATATCTGGAGGAGAGCCGATCCTTGAATATTCGTCAATCGAAAGAGAAATCGCGTATCATGGCTTGACAATTGTGGGTTGGAGGAGGTTTTTATGGAGGGTTGGTATAAATTTAATTCAATATAACAAGATTTCAATTGTACCAAACATTTACTGTTTACACTACTATTCGATTTCTCACAATCATAGAAACCTACCTGTAAACAGTGTTCTTTTGCTTCTAAAATAAATGAAATAACCGTAACTAAGTCTCCTTAATCAATGTGTGTTAATAAGTGTGTAAATGTAAATGCAAGCATGAACATGAATAGAGCTGGTAGAACGAACTGGTTTGTATATTATGTTGTTCGTTAAAGTTTTTCTAGTACGGAATTAGAGATATATGGGTCATATGTTTACTGTATTTTTCACCACACTATGATGTTTTTAGCTGTATTACATACGTTAATTGATGGCTGAAAGTTACGTTTTGCTGGCCATGCCAGCTGTCATCGTAATTTGGGGACCGAGCAGGTTTTTACATCCCGGTACCACAAAATCAGCTGTCCGCTTGCATATTAATTACACAAACAGTATCCATAGAATTGGAATAGAATTGATTTATTTTCACCGTTGCCTAGCAACTGTTTATTATTATTTTTGCTGATTCCTGAAATTACTTCTTCACACAACCTTAAAGTTGCGTTGACTATCAGTTTTCATTATTATTGTGAATAGTAGTAGTGTGGTGAAAAATTGTGTTCGTACCACGGACCGAAAATGGTTTTGCAGCTCATGATCGATTTAAGTTCTCGACTTCATCTCGAACTTACAAACTATCTCGAGCCGGCAAAACCTCGTTTTCGGCCCTAGGTGCGAAATATACTATTAATCCTTGATGTTTTGATGATCATATACAGGATATCTGGTCATCAGTGTTACAAACCTTTTTGGTGTAAGTAGAAAGTAAATGAAGTGTGATGATGCCTATAATAGGTTCCAAAAAGTTCTGAAAGTTAGCTTCCTAAAGAATTATTTTAAGTTTTAAAAAAATAACCATTTTTTAAACACAACACAGCAATTTCTTAATGACCTGTAAATGGATTTGAGTAGATGATGCAATTTCGTGTTCTCCATTAAATTTTGAACAAGAATAATACAATAATAAGGTAATATATAAGGGAAAAAGAGGAACAAAGGTGAATGAAGTATATGAAGATTTTTTTCGAAAATTTGGTAGGATTGTCTTTTAGTCTTTTTATACAAATTGTAAAACTAATTAAAACCCAAATAGCGGTTTCCATTAATTGCCTGAATTAACATCCACAAACCTTTTAGGTTACTTTTTTTAGGTAACCTTTTAGGTAGAATGTTGTTTCTTAAACGGATGGGATGTGTAACTATTTTATTTAACAGGATTTAATGTCAAGATTAACAGATGTCAAGTCCTCTTCCCGTTCGTTGCAAAGCACGGGTAGCGCAGTAAGTTTAAACTAATTGAACGTGTTTCTGTTGTGCATGTAACATATTACTCGTCATGGCGATCCGCAGTCAAAACCGAAATAACTTTCGATGTTTCACTGAATTTAAAAGTCAATTAATTCCACAGAGGTATTGTTATTTTCGCAAAACTACCTCCTAAACCTAGCCAAAATGTTTAGATAAGGAGTAGTGTATAACGCCTTCACTTCCAGATTTATACCCTGAAGACAAGAAATCGTGTATATTCTTCATTGTATAATTTGAGAAAAGTTCATATAAAATCTAGGTTTTGCTTTGCAATTCATTTTTCACTTCAACATCGTTCTTAACAATTAAATGTGTACTCTAGGAACAAAAAAGTGAATAAGTCCTACCTCATCCTTTGCGCCATGCTCTAAATGTGAATAAGTCCTACCTCATCCTTTGCGCCATGCTCTAAATGTGAATAAGTCCTACCTCATCCTTTGCGCCATGCTCTAAATGTGAATAAGTCCTACCTCATCCTTTGCGCCATGCTCTAAATGTGAATAAGTCCTACCTCATCCTTTGCGTCATGCTCTAAATGTGAATAAGCCCTACCTCATCCTTTGCGCCATGCTCTAAATGTGAATAAGTCCTACCTCATCCTTTGCGCCATGCTCTAAATGTGAATAAGTCCTACCTCATCCTTTGCGCCATGCTCTAAATGTGAATAAGTCCTACCTCATCCTTTGCGTCATGCTCTAAATGTGAATAAGCCCTACCTCATCCTTTGCGCCATGCTCTAAATGTGAATAAGTCCTACCTCATCCTTTGCGCCATGCTCTAAATGTGAATAAGTCCTACCTCATCCTTTGCGCCATGCTCTAAATGTGAATAAGTCCTACCTCATCCTTTGCGCCATGCTCTAAATGTGAATAAGTCCTACCTCATCCTTTGCGCCAAGCTCTAAGTGAATAAGTCCTACCTCATCCTTTGCGCCATGCTCTAAATGTGAATAAGTCCTACCTCATCCTTTGCGCCATGCTCTAAATGTGAATAAGTCCTACCTCATCCTTTGCGCCATGCTCTAAATGTGAATAAGTCCTACCTCATCCTTTGCGTCATGCTCTAAATGTGAATAAGCCCTACCTCATCCTTTGCGCCATGCTCTAAATGTGAATAAGTCCTACCTCATCCTTTGCGCCATGCTCTAAATGTGAATAAGTCCTACCTCATCCTTTGCGCCATGCTCTAAGTGAATAAGTCCTACCTCATCCTTTGCGCCATGCTCTATCAGGCTGCTGAAGCTTGAGCGACTTCCGTGGTGGGACTTCCGCCTCAGATCCGAGTCATCTCCTAGCAGAGAATCACCCTTGGACCTGGCGAGACGCTCGTTCTCCACACACTGGCCCAGGGGAATGCCGAAGACAAGGCCACCACCCTCCACTGGAAACAACAGAGTAAACTAATCCTGCAATTTGTACTTGAATAGATTTTATGATGGCTGAAGTGAACGTGAAAAATGTGTTCTTGAGAGAGCATGGGGACAAGGAACAAGGCTGAATTTACGTTTAGCTATGGTATTAGTTACAGCAGCAAATGTATTAACTTAGTTCTAATATATATTTGGCTCTATGCATTTTGCCCGAAACTTAAGTCTAATGATGAAGCAGAGAAGAAAAAAGGTCAATGACAGAACCAAATCAGTTTGTCAAATGTATTAGTAAGAGAGTTTATATAAAATTATTAAAAACTTAATATATTCAAATGCAAGGGTAAGAATGCATCAAATGCAGGAAACATGAGAACATTGTTTTACAAGGCCCAAACACTTTCATTAAGCAAACAAACCAATGTTATTGTGTTACCTCTAAATAAACTCACAAACCTAAATCATAATGTAAAATACAACAGGGGAATAAACTCGAATAACTACAAGAAAAAAACACGTTTAGTAAAACATAGCAAAAAGCAGAAGTAAAAAAGATAAATTTGTTAAACTAATATTAACTCAAAATATGCTTTCATTAACTGCATCCACAAAGAAGTAAGATAAATAAGAGAAGTAAGATCTTACTTCTCTGTGCTGCAACATAAATACGATCTTACCTTCGAGGAAATTAATTACTTGCAGATATTAAAAATAAATGCCCTAAACGTCTCTCACGAATCAAGCAGACGACGGCGAGACATATTACGTCGAGACGAAAACAATTAAAATCACAGAAGGAAAACAAACATTAAGAACGGGTGTAAAGTTAGGAATAAGTGCGGCAGAAAATAGAACAGCACTTACAACTTTATGATTCAATCTGTTTCTGACTACTATTAGGGGACTGTTGTTATGTGGTTGGTAGATTTAAGAGTAATAAATCAATGGGACCCAGGTGGACGACAGGGGGGTAAGATATGCATTAGTAGCACTATTGGATGAGTGCCTATTTTGTGCTATTTGTGCCCAAGGCGTCATATTCGGCCTACGGCACTGTTTGTATACACAGAGTTCTAACAAATCACACACGGGAGTAACATGGAGTATACACTCTGGCATGTGCTACTTCTCATCATACACACCGACATGTGCTACTTCTCATCATACACTCCAGCAAGTGTGACTTCTCATCATTGACTCCAGCAAATGCGACTTCTCATCATTCACTCCAGCAAGTGTGACTTCTCATCATTCACTCCAGCAAGTGTGAATTCTCATCATTCACTCCAGCAAGTGCGACTTCTCATCATACATCCCGACATGTGCTACTTCTCATCATTCACTCCAGCAAGTGCGACTTCTCATCATTCACTCCAGCAAGTGTGACTTCTCATCATTCACTCCAGCAAGTGTGACTTCTCATCATACACTCAGGGAAATGCTACTCCTCATCATACATTCCGGCATGTGCTACTGCTCATCTTACACTCAGGGAAATGCTACTCCTCGTCATACATTCCGACATGTGCTACTTCTCATCATACACTCAGGGATATGCTACTCCTCATCATACATTTCGACATGTGCTACATATCATCATACACTCAGGGATATGCTACTCCTCATCATACATTTCGACATGTGCTACATATCATCATACACTCAGGGAAATGCTACTCCTCATCATACATTCCGACATGTGCTACTGCTCATCTTACACTCAGGGAAATGCTACTCCTCGTCATACATTCCGACATGTGCTACTTCTCATCATACACTCAGGGATATGCTACTCCTCATCATACATTTCGACATGTGCTACATATCATCATACACTCAGGGAAATGCTACTCCTCATCATACATTTCGACATGTGCTACATATCATCATACACTCAGGGAAATGCTACTCCTCGTCATACATTCCGACATGTGCTACTTCTCATCATACACTCAGGGATATGCTACTCCTCATCATACATTTCGACATGTGCTACATATCATCATACACTCAGGGAAATGCTACTCCTCATCATACATTCCGGCATGTGCTACTGCTCATCTTACACTCAGGGAAATGCTACTCCTCGTCATACATTCCGACATGTGCTACTTCTCATCATACACTCAGGGATATGCTACTCCTCATCATACATTCCGACATGTGCTACATATCATCATACACTCAGGGAAATGCTACTCCTCATCATACATTCCGACATGTGCTACTTATCATCATACACTCAGGGATATGCTACTCCTCATCATACATTCCGACATGTGCTACTTATCATCATACACTCAGGGATATGCTACTCCTCATCATACATTCCGACATGTGCTACTTATCATCATACACTCAGGGATATGCTACTTCTCATTATACATTTCGACATGTGCTACATATCATCATACACTCAGGGATATGCTACTTCTCATCATACATTCCGACATGTGCTACTTCTCATCATACACTCAGGGATATGCTACTCCTCATCATAAACCCCGACATGTGCTACTTCTCATCATACACTCAGGGATATGCTACTCCTCATCATACATTTCGACATGTGCTACATATCATCATACACTCAGGGATATGCTACTCCTCATCATACATTCCGACATGTGCTACTTCTCATCATACACTCAGGGATATGCTACTCCTCATCATACATTTCGACATGTGCTACATATCATCATACACTCAGGGATATGCTACTCCTCATCATACATTTCGACATGTGCTACATATCATCATACACTCAGGGATATGCTACTTCTCATCATACATTCCGACATGTGCTACTTCTCATCATACACTCAGGGATATGCTACTCCTCATCATAAACCCCGACATGTGCTACTTCTCATCATACACTCAGTGATATGTTACTTCTCATCATACACTCCCGGAGATGTGCTACTTCTCTTTATTTAATCCAGCATGCAGTAGACATTCTTCTTCCTATGTAATCAGTTTTCCCTACTTCTCACCATACCCTCATGCATGCACTACTTCTTTCTATACACTTGGTCTTTGATACTTCTCTCCTAGTAATCAAAAAGTTACCGGTCAATTATGATGAAAGTGCTTTGAAGTCCTAACTTTCTATTTAATTTCATATTACAAAATATGTTATGCCTACAATATTCTAGTCGTGAAATATTTGTTGAGGTCAGTATCCGTTGTGTCCTCTATGACTCACTTTAACGATGTAGGACTATCCTTTATCCGCAATTTTCTGTGAACGTGAATTGCCCACACACCGACACATCTCTCTTTCCGACATAGGATAATTATCCAAAAAGACTCTGGCATGTGTTATATTTCCTGCACGCATAAGTAAGGTGTTATTATTTTATCTTTTACACATGCATTGCACCTTATTTCATACAAACTGTGTTACAGGGATGTTTTCCTAAACCAATTTCTAGTTAGTCTTGAAGCTAAGTTCAATGTCAACTACTGTAGATACTTAGTGACATCTGGTAATCTTTTGTTGACTTGACTATATCAGCAACATTGTGTAGGTATTCTGTCAACTCGCTGACAGGTGGCTGCTATATTTAGCCTGGCACCGCTCGCCGACTTTCAGAACATCGCGATAATACCTCAAAAGTTGTCAACCATCAGCAAAGTTATCCATACCATCTTTCAGGTTAATTTCACTATAATGTTTTGCAAATGGATATTATCATCTTGTGCGAGTAATATTTTAACTTAACTAGACCGTGTCTCAAGAAATAATGTTAATGACTGTAAAGTTCTTTTTTCTCCCAATATACCACAACTGTTTTGAATAAAATCCCGTTTATTCACTATTATTTAGGCTATTATATGTAAGGTTAGGTTGGGTCTGTATTATATAATTTTATGTTAGATTAGGTAAAATGAACACTAAGCATAAAAGTTATTAGTGGACTCGTTTGAAAAACAACTTATGCAGTTAAAATGCTTTGTATTGTATTGTGTAGTATAGAATATAAGAAAACACCACAGCACTCAACAGTTACTTGATAGAAATCACTTCTACTATAGTACTAAATAAATTCAGTTACGTTCATGCATTTTGAAATTACTGGTAGCAATTTGTTTTACGTATAATACCATTGACTAATTATATACTGAAGAGAAATCTGCCATTTAAAACACCAGTGAATAAACGAATATAAATAAACGGTATCAGAAATCTGACATATACTTTCTCCCATTAGCCCCCAAAAAAATGAAGAAAAAACTTCTGGAGATACCATGGTTTAGTACCTACATAACAAATTTCATCAAAATCGGACTACAGGTGTGGTCTGTAGCTTTGTACACATCCAGACACACAGACACACACACACACACACACACACAGGCATCACTTCGAAAACCACTTTTTGGGTTCAATGGGACCCATAATGGATATATCCAAAACTCAAACTCGAAAATTTTAACGAAAACAATACTTTCTCCATATACTATGTATAGGGAGGGAAAGTGAAAAAATCAGAGGTATACCTTGCAGGTTTTCACAGTTATTTGGTTTTTCTAGATAAGTCAGTTGGGAAAATGATTGTTGCTACTATAGTATGGTTTCCCTAAGAGTTAAAGATTTCCTTATGAGACAGAAGAAAGCCACTAAATATTGTAGCTATTTTAGCAAAACACATATAAACACTCTACTTACCCTTTTCCTTGTCTTCTTTGCCAGACTTGGTGTCGAAGAGGCCAGTGGTGATGGCCTTACGCTTGAGCAGGTACGCTCTTCGCTTAGGCTTTTGCACCGTGCTCGCCGACACATTATCTACAAACAAGGCATGCACATTAAAACGTCCTTCAAGTACTGTATAGTAATAACGGATTTATATTTTAAGTATCAAACAAACTACTTTAACTTATTTTAAGAATACAGTAATATGATCGGTTATTTTTCACAGTCAGTAGTGGCAGTATAAAACCAAAGCAGTGATGTATTAGGTTTGCATCCCAAACCATCATCTATATACTAACTACAAATAAACGATTTTCACGATTGAGGTGTTATTTCAAATCTTATGATCCAGTGCACATGTGAATGGTAACGATTCAATTATATCTTGAGTTTATTATCAAATATCTAGTGTTCCTTGACAAACTTGGTTTATAACGATGTAAATATGAATTGTGTTCTAACAGCTAATCCTTCAGTTAAATATTTAACCACAGTTAGAAACAGTTTATGAAAATGAATTTTAATATACGATTTTTTATTGCGACCTGGCTGAGGTAGGTAAATCAATTTTCAGTGTTTATATTGTAGATCCAGATCTTTGAAAAGAAAATGGGTTTACATTATTATTTTTACCTTATAATTGAGTTTTGAACCCTAGTTTGCACATGGGTCCAATCGTATTTGTTCATTTAATTGTTGTTATATCAATCAATTATCAATCATTAAGATGGGGACGCCACTTAGGTGCGTATTTTAACCCAAATATGAGTGAAGGATGAGTGTAGAATGGTGTGAGATGATCTGTGTAGCTTTGTTACTGACTAAGATCAACTGTTTCATTAGCCAGGATCATTTATTTAAAGCCCAATGATCAGGAACAGCTGGGTCCAGTTTCGAACCATCAAAAAGCTACTGACTTTTCTCAGGATCGAACCGGCGACCTTTTGATTAGAAGGCGAGCACTATAACCTCTCAGCTACCCAGCCAGTATACTGTATACTGGCACACTCCTTGTTTTTCCGAGGGAGTCGCTCGATGGTCAGGAAGATTTGAGTCACCGATCTTTGAGAATTTAAACAATATTAGCTTGGCCAGTGTATCAGCTACTAAGTGAGTCTAAAGTGTGAACAAATGTATCAAAACCAGGCCTAAAGTATACGTCAGCTACTTCAGCATAACAAACTATAAAATATCACTACCACTGTTGATTTTCATGATCAATCTAAACTGATAAGCCCTATTAGAAATGAAACTTGAAGAATCTCAATCACTAGGGCATAACGTGACTCCTTTCAACCCGAGCTTAAGTTTCACGAACGAGGCAGAGCCGTGGTCGGAAAATGTGGGGGGTTGAAAATCACTTTTCTCCCATGTGGCATGTGGTTAACTATATTTTTTGGCATATTGCAACACTATTTAACAAACTAAGCTAGAAACGAAAATAATTATCATGTCAAGATAACCCATCAAAACTAATGGCAACTTATTTTCAATTTTGCAAATGCAAACCAGCAGTTGTTTGGTAAGTGATTTAATCATTTCATACATTACGATCGTCTTAATGTACAATATACTACCAATATGTCGAGCTGACAAGCATGTAGCAAAAAGCTGCAACCGATTAAATCAATCCATACAAAATTGCGATACATATTGCTTACAATCGAAGTTTACAACAGCTGTCTTTACCGCCACCCCCCTACGGAGTAAGAGCTACTTTAGACAAGCAACGAATGTATTGAAAATGGTTGGTTTTGATGGAGTATGACGAAACAAATTATAACCATATGAATTATAGATTTTAAAAGCCAGACAAACATTCAAGCATCTTATTCCAATGTTCGTGCATAGTATAAAACATTTATTTACCAGAAGGTATCCTAACAGCGACCCCCAAGTTGAGAGCTTGCAGTTTAGCGAGGGCGACTTTTTGAAGGACTCTCCTCTCAATGTCGGACAATTGCAACAACGTCGTGTCCGACAATGTGACAGTCCGTCCAACGCCATTGGTCCACTGACAGTTACCCTGGAACACACACGACAACCAATACAAACTAGACAATTGCAACAATGTCGTGTCCGACAATGTGACAGTCCGTCCAACGCCATTGGTCCACTGACAGTTACCCTGGAACACACACGACAACCAATACAAACTAGACAATTGCAACAACGTAGTGTCCGACAATGTGACAGTCCGTCCAACGCCATTGGTCCACTGACAGTTACCCTGGAACACACACGACAACCAATACAAACTAGACAATTGCAACAATGTCGTGTCCGACAATGTGACAGTCCGTCCAACGCCATTGGTCCACTGACAGTTACCCTGGAACACACACGACAACCAATACAAACTAGACAATTGCAACAACGTAGTGTCCGACAATGTGACAGTCCGTCCAACGCCATTGGTCCACTGACAGTTACCCTGGAACACACACGACAACCAATACAAACTAGACAATTGCAACAACGTCGTGTCCGACAATGTGACAGTCCGTCCAACGCCATTGGTCCACTGGCAGTTACCCTGGAACACACACGACAACCAATACAAACTAGACAATTGCAACAACGTAGTGTCCGACAATGTGACAGTCCGTCCAACGCCATTGGTCCACTGACAGTTACCCTGGAACACACACGACAACCAATACAAACTAGACAATTGCAACAACGTCGTGTCCGACAATGTGACAGTCCGTCCAACGCCATTGGTCCACTGACAGTTACCCTGGAACACACACGACAACCAATACAAACTAGACAATTGCAACAACGTAGTGTCCGACAATGTGACAGTCCGTCCAACGCCATTGGTCCACTGGCAGTTACCCTGGAACACACACGACAACCAATACAAACTAGACAATTGCAACAACGTAGTGTCCGACAATGTGACAGTTCGTCCAACGCCATTGGTCCACTGACAGTTACCCTGGAACACACACGACAACCAATACAAACTAGACAGAAGCGAGAGTTGAATTAGGCACAAGTTCACAACACATTTTGGAGTTTTTTTTCGGTTCAGAAAAATTTTATTCACCGGTCGTTTCATTATTTTTGTTTTGTGGAGTGTGGGAATGGATTAATGTATCTGCAATACTAAGACTGCTTTCAGAGTAAACTAATGATTTTCCACGAGCAAAGCTCGGTCCCCAGGTACTAAGTATTTAATAGGTAATTACCGATGTATCTTAGCATTTAAAACTAGTTAAATGTATTCTTTTTCCATATTATATATTTTTTTAATTGTCTACACAGTGTTAAATTGTCATAATACAATAATAGTATTTTTCATCACTAGGGGCTAAAGTGACTCTTTTTGTCCCGAGGTCAAGTTTTACGATCGAGGCTAAGCCGAGGCCGAGGCTAGAAAATGAGCGAGGGTTAAAAAGTCACTTTTTGCCCGTGTAATAAACTATATTTTTGTCATATTGCATTTTATATCCTTCATGTTGTGTTGTTTTTATATATTTAAAAAATTGGTTTTTCTTTTCCGAGCTCGTTTGGCTCGTCTACCCGACCGATTTTCATGAGTGAGGTCTCAAATTGAAGGTATGCACGCACAGATTTGCCATCAAGCATCGACATATAATTATCTATAGTCTTACTCGGTTTATACGTAAACGAAATTTGCTCTCCATGTATTTCTTAAGGGAGTTAAATTTGGTTTCTCTTTGCCGAGTTCGTTTAGCTCTTCTACCCAACCGATTTTCATGATTGAGGTCTCAAATTGAAGGTATGCACGCACAGATTTGCCATAAAACATCGGCATATAATTATCTATCATCCCACTCGGCTTACACGTAAACAAAATTGCTCCCCATGTTTTCCTATGGGAATTAGATTTGGCTTTTCTTTGCCAAATTCGTTGGGCTCTTCTACCCGACCGATTTTCATGATTGAGGTCTCAAAATGAAGACATGCACGCCAGGTTACCACATCAAGCATCGGTAAATATTTACCTACTGTATTACTCGACAAAAAACATAATTTGATTTATTTTCGGATTCTTACTTCAATTTAATATGTATTTCACAAGTTGTAATTATATAATCCTATATATTTTAGCCTAAGAAGCTCCAGTGAAATACCACCTTTCATTTAAGTTATTAGTTATTCAAATCGGACGAGTTTCAAACAAACACAAGGTGAACAACCAACAAAAAAACTATTTTTATAAGGGTTTTCTATGATTAAAAATCAATACCTCCAGTATTGTTCATGTTTTTCTATATGTTTTAGACTCAAAATGATCAGTAAATTATAGGCTTTAATTTGAGCTATTGATCGTTTAAATCAGTTTAAGCTCAAGATACTGTATTACTCTTTCAAAAATCATAAATTTGATTATTTCTCGGATATTATATTTATTTTAACGCTGCGGAGCAGCATTTGACACCTAGTAATTAATTAACAAACAAAGCTAGAAAATGAAATAATGTTTATGTAAAGATAACCAATAATGGTTAAAACATACCTCGTCAGACAATCCTTAACATGTAAGTAGTGAACATGGAGGTACCTCTGACGAGGTATGTTTTAACCATTATTTGTCATATTTCGCAATCCTGGGGCTATAAAAATGAATTTTAAAGATAACCCCTCAAAACGACTCCCAGGTTGTTTTCAATTCTGCTAATGCAAATAAGTGATTCAATCATTTTAGTCTATTAGGCCTACGATTGTGTTACAGTACATTATATCATCGATATGTCGAGCAATCGACAACAATAGGATAAACCCTTACTTAAAAATCAACCGATAAATAATTTCAATCGATACGATTGCCACAACCAAAATTTAAAACTGTTTACAACAGCTGATTTTTACTCCTTAGAGACTAAAAATGATTTTTACTCCCTAGAGAGTAAAATTTCTACTTCAGACCCTCAACACATGCATTAAAATGGCTGTTTTTGATGCAGTCGCTGGTTCAAAACCGCATGGGATCCACTATGAAACCCTGATGCAATTTGTTAACAATTAATGATTGACTTATGATCGACGTTAGAGAGACGATTCAAAGACCCCTTAAAAAGAGCATAAACATTTCCATTGGAACACATGCACACATAGAAACACACATACACACGAATGGTTTACAAACATAAAAGGTTCCCGATGTAATTACGCTATTGAAGTAACTTCTACCAATGTATATTTTACAGTAATTGTCCAATTCAGTACAAGCTTAGCCATCAGACACACACATGTTATATGGTGTGAATCACGGCATCTCTGTACCAAACTAACATTAAGTGACGATTGATTAACAACAATGACGGCCTTGGATTGTGTGAGACGGTGGGTGTGTTGATAGTTGCAATATTCACAACAAGAGCATGTGACTCACAACGATTGGTACAATCAGGTTGGCAAGGGGCATTTTGCCAGGTGAGGCACAATCAAACTATGACTCTATATGTGCCGAACTCACCATTATCATGACGGTTTTTGCCTATTGAGTTTTACCATTGACCTTTTAAGGGGGGTAATGTACCCAAAAATACTTTTTCTTTATAAATGGCCTAAAAATTTTTATTTATTGATTAAAATGTATCCCAGTGTAAAAATTAAAAAAAATATGAGCCCCCCCCCTTTCTCTTTCGGGCGAAGGGGGGGGGGGATTAAAAAACATACGTTTACGTTTTACAGCATAACTCCTTTTGTATAGCACGTATTCCAATTTTTTAAACTTTGTTTCAAAGCTAATAAATAGCCTTACAAACTGTAGCATGGCTTTTGATATGCTTTTAAAAATATATATGGGACATTTTATTTTAACTTTTTGACGAATTCCGTTTATTTTTTTTATTTAAAAAAATATGTAAGGAATATGGTTAACAATATGTAAATTTCCATGCTACTGTTTGTGCACAATATATTGAAGAACATATGTACAAAATTTGACTTCTCTAGCTAAAAAAAATAAAAAAAACTATGCTGTAAAACGTGAAGGTAAACAGTAAAAAAGAAATATGCGGGAAATAACAAAAACACTTTGCTTCGAATAGGCGCCTGAAGCAGAAAACCCAGCTGTGGATGCTTATGATATTTAGCCTAAAAAACTATTTTCAATATTAAAAATGCAAAACTAATGCTTGATACAGACTCTTAAATATTTTAAGAAAAAAAATTTTTTATGAAGTTTTTTGGTTACATTGCTTCCAAAATAGGCGCCTGAAGCAGAAAAGCCAGCTGTGCGTGCTTATGAAATTTAATCCAAAAAACACATTTTGAATATTAAAAAACCAAAATCAATGCTTGATACTTGTTCCTAAATTGTTTAAGAAACATAAAAATAAATAAAATACTTTTTTTTTATTAAAATTTTTGGGTACATTGCCCCCTTAATACAAAACAAGACATCCCAATTTTGAGGACCAACTGCAGTCAATTTTGTATTAAAGGATATTTTGGCTGAACAAACTAATCACAGATTGTACCATAATTAGAAATCAGTTGTTTCCCTTAGTTTCCGTAGCAGCTTATGTGACATAAAAGAAGCTAATGTTTTACTTTGGCTATGTTAAAATGCTAGTGAATAAATAAAAAATTCTATGAGTTTTGTAATGAAGAAAATAATTATTTTTTGTAGTGTAGCGAAAAGCAACGTTCAAAACACGATTGAAAGTGGGTCTATACAAATTCTTGCCAATTTAAGTGCTCGATAAATCTCGCACTTCAAACTTGGTCTCAAATACTCTTGATATGAAATATACTATTTCGTTGCACTACTAAGAAATTACGACATGTTTTCGTTACAAGTTTATCACCTGCGAAAATTCACAATTACATTGTTTCATACGGAATAAGATTGTTTACTATGCGAAAGTAATGTTTACTATCTTTCTTGGATTTTGCCGACAAGCACTAACAAAGATTTGTTATTGTTATGTCAACTGTTTCAATTTTCTGCAGCCAAAACTGTACAACCAAAGTAAATATTCATTTAAAATTGAATTCAGTCCATTGCATGGCGTAACCTAAAAATGCTATCAGTTTTGTAAT